CTGGTGGTCAACCAGAGGCACCTGGTGGTCAACCAGAGGCAGTGGGGGTCGACCAGAGCACTTGGTGGTCGACCAGGTCGACCGGGTAACCTGCTCGACAAGTTCTACGGAGCCATGCGAACGTCGCCGAGGTCGCGATGGCAAAGGCGACTTTGGGTTGGTATCCCGAAGTCGATGTGGCTCGTCAGGCGCAGACAACAGCTGACAGATGCACAACGGTGCAAGTCGGGCCAATTGTCTGCGCGCACCTGCGAGCGAGCACACTGCTGTCTTCTACGGGGCAACGCTAGACCGCCACTCAGCTACAGCGTTGGCACGCCGTCGACCTGCTCTGTTGGCAGGTCGCCTTTCCGCAGTACTGGCGCGGCTCCTCTACGCAACACTGGCAGGCGGTCGACCAAGCTGTGCTGGCGGTCGACCAGGCTAGCTGCAGAGTTGCTAGGTGTCTGATGTAGTCATTATTGTCATTGCTTGTTCAACCTTTTCTTGTAATTCCAACTTTGCTAGTGAAACTCTTGCCAACTTCTCTCGTAAATGTGCAAGTGCTAAGGAACACGAGCAAAGCTACGATCACTCTTAATTGTTCGTGTCTAACCCCTCGTACTCTAGCTTACTACCTTTGTCGAGTGACTCTTCACGGTTTCTCCCCCGTCGTCAATTGTGACGGGCCCACTGGGGGTTGGGATCTTGAATCACAACCAGGTAGTTTGTGAACCATGATGCTCTCGACTCTCGTACAGTACCACAACACACTGCAAGTAGGAATAGCTTTGCAACCACAACCCCAGCGCGTCGCCATCGTCAGAGCACTAGTGCAGGCAAACGATAAACGTGACAGGTAGAGTAGCACAATAACTCTGTCTACTAATGGCGGAACTTAGGGTTACGGCCAGCGAACTCATTGCACGCGCCCCGTGTTTATCTCGACCGCACTGGATGCGTTTTAAGCCCGCAACATCTCAAGGGAAATTAGGCGCGAATTACACCGCGATGGCGCACGCAGCACATGCGTTTCGTATCGAGCGTCCGACTACATCGCACCCAAATCTCGGATGACACGTGCTGGAATCGACTGCTATCCCCACCTCCCACTACGCAGCCCACTCCGCACGAACCAGGTCCAAACGACATGCCTCACTTCCTATCCAGAGCTAACCCCGCATTCGCATTAGGGTTGCACAATGCTCTGCACACCAATGTTCAGGAGGAAATGGCATCCGAAAAAACCAGGGGGGCCAAAGTATGTTCGAAGTAAGTGTTGGAGTTACGCTGGCGTAAATGTTCGGAAAGTAGGTTTGAGGTTACGCCTCATTCTACTTTCTGAGGTCCGTGAATGCTAAACTCGCCCAGTACACTCCCATATTCGAGGAACCAAACAAGCTTCGAGGTCGTTTAGGTTCGGAACTCACACGATTGGTCGACTGGTTGAAAGTTTCTGGCTCAGAGATTTCGTTCATTGGTTTCGAATTGTGCGAAGGTGCAAGGCAATTGGCTCGTGCGCGCGCGACACGTGCGAATGTTCACTCGTTAAAAGTAGATAAAGATAGTCACTGTAGATACAACTAAGCATTTTTTTCAGTCTGGTTATATATATTCACATTGTTTTTTTAATATAAATCAGAATATTGGCGTTTCCTTTTATATTCATTTATTGCCTACGAACTGAACTTTCGTTGCAATAATGTATTCAATCGCAATCCCATTTTTCTCTTGGTACTCCCATTTTATTTGCGGTTCTTATGCTGAACCATCATCAATGGGTTGATTAAATTACACAAATACAAACAAGACAAACATCAAAACATTTAAACTTAACACTAACTTCGGCAAAAAATGATGCTAGCAACGATACATGTTGCTCTAGCAATGGCATTATCTGCTGCTACGATAACACGTGCGGAGCCTGCATGTCAGAATCCCAACCACTAGATCATTGGGATAAAAGGGCTTGTTAAGTAGCGGGTCAGTGCGCCCATAACCCCCCAGGCCAACATGCCTGTAATTTTTCCCTAGGATCAATCGGGGATCTCTAGTGGACCTCTGATACCCCCCCGCACTGGGATACCCGAAGTGCATACACTGGGATTCGAACCCGAGACCTTCACTCTGGTACCATGTCAGAATCCCAGCCACTAACCACTGGGATAAAAGGGCTTGTTAAGTATCGGGTCAGTGCGCCCATAACCCCCCAGGCCAACGTGCCTGTAACCCTTCCCTAGGATCAATCGGGGATCTCCAGTGGACCTCTGACACTGCACATTGAAACTGAACGTTAAACGCAAGAAAACACCTCAAACCAAGCACGATATGTGAAGGATGAGGAATGAAAGAAGAGAGAGGGGTTTGCACTAGCAGCAGTTGGCATACATATAGGAAACCCTAATTGGGTTGTACTCGTTATAGAGTACCCCACTGCAGGCTAGACAATTATAACATTCTGACACACCCCCATAGCCAAAGTGGGGTGTAATCAGCACAATGAGCAAGCAGGCATAGAGCAGGAGTTCACAATAGGGAGCAAAGCTAGAGTTAATCACAGCGGGCAAGTGAGGAGGAGGAGGAACTGTGGAGGGAGAGAAGATGGGAGGCAACGACTGAAGCTGCAGAGGCACGGGCACAGGAGCGGCTGACTCAATGGCTACCGAAGCAAGGGCGACGGACTACTGGAGTAACTGGCTCCGCGGCTATAGACGAGCGGCAGGAGCAACGGACCCACTGGCGACTGGTGCAACAGGCTCACTGGCTACCGAAGCAAGGGCGACGGACTACAGGCGCTGCAGGTGACACGACAGCTACCTTCACACAACCTCCTCCAGCTGCCCCACACCTCTCGACACACACCCCCTGCTCAAACCCTAGTTCTACTCCCACAGCACCCCCCTTAAACCCTAAATCCCAGGCTCACACACATCCACCCCCCTCAAAACCCTAGCACCACTCCCACAGCACCCCCTTTAAACCCTAAACCCCAGGCTCCCACACATCCACCCCCCTCAGCGACAGCTGCAGCAGTGGGAGACGAAGGAGGAGGAGGAGCAGGGGAGACCACACACCCGCCACCCCCTACTCGCCAACCCCAGACCCTAACACAGGGCAGGGCGGGACGGCGGGTAGAGAGGTTAGGGGGGGGGGGGGGGCTACGCGCGGCCTCCCAGGGCGCCAAAACAGGCGGCAGAAGGGGCGACGCTCGCCCCCCTCCCCCAGGTCGCGGCCCCCTCAGGTCGCCTCGACAGGCGACGGGAAAAGGGGGGGGGGCGGTGCACGTGCCCCCGGTGCGCCGCGACTGGCGACGGAGCATGGCCGGGGCGGGGCCGGGGCAGGGTCGAGGAAGGGCCGAAAGGGGCGGCGACGGGGCCGCAAGTGGCGGCGACGGGGCCGCTGGAGGCGGCGACGGGGCCGCTAGGGTCGGCGACGGGGCCGCTGGCGGCGGCGACGGGGCCGATAGGGACGGCGACGGGGCCGCTGACGGCGGCGACGGGGCCGATAGGGGCGGCGACGGGGCCGCTAGGGTCGGCGACGGGGCCACTGGCGGCGGCGACGGGGCCGATAGGGGCGGCGACGGGGCCGCGAGGGTCGGCGACGGGGCCGCTGGCGGCGGCGACGGGGCCGATAGGGGCGGCGACGGGGCCGCGAAGGGGCCGCGAGGGGCCTGGAAGGGCGGCGACGGGCCGCGAAGGGGCCGCGAGGGGCCTGAAAGGGGCGGCAACGGGGCCGCGAAGGGGCCGCGAGGGGCCGAGAAGGGCGGCGACGGGGCCACGAAGAGTAGCGCGAGGGGCACGTCACGGGGCGTGCAGCACACAGAGTAGCAGCGGAAGCAGTTGGGTGGGCCCACAGGCCAGGAGCGTAGATGCTCTGATAGCATGTGAAGAAAGAGGAATGAAAGAAGAGAAAGGGGTTTGCACTAGCAGCAGTTGGCATACATATAGGAAACCCTAATTGGGTTGTACTCGCTATAGAGTACCCCACTGCAGGCTAGACAATTATAACATTCTGACACGATAACTTATCAGCAAAAAACAAACGACATGGTTAGACAACAAATAAAACAGCCGACCTGCAAGAAGAAACAAGAGACCAGCAAGAAATAGACGAGGTACAATAACAAAGCACGAAATATAGAGGGAAACTACATAGACTAGCTACCAATGCATGCAAAGGCCATGCACGCTGATGCCTCGCGTCCGCCGCCTAAGGGGCTGACAGAAAAGAAACAGGCAAAAACCGGATGAGACGAAGTGAAAATTTAAGCACGAGTAGAGTAACATCACATTTTACATTGCTTATTGATGCACATTTCGATACACGCCTCCCTTCCTTCACACAGCCTCTCTACACGCTCGGCCATACGCCCGTCCGTACTCAACGCATTCACCCTTTTTCCCCCATCACCCCTTCTTCCCGCTCACAAATACTCCATCACCCCTTTATCCTTTTCTTCCCCTTACTCCTCTCTCAAATACCCCGTTCTTTCCCATACTCCCCTCGGCTATCCCCCTTTCTCTCCCTTACTCCTCTCTTCTAAACCCCTTACTCTCCCGTACTACCCTCAGCCATACCCCTTTTCCCTCGGCTATACCTCTTTCTCTGCCATACTCCCCTCGGGGATTTCCCTTTCCCTGCCATAGTACACTCCTATCCCCCTTTCTCTCCCTTACTCCCCTCTGCTATACCTCTAACTCTCCCTTACTCCTTTTGTCTATACCCCTTTTCCCCCCTTACTCCCCTTTCTAATGCCCCTTTCTCCCCCCTACTCCCCTCGGCTATACCCCTCTGGAACCCCCCACCCTTTCCCCTCTCCCCTCCCGCGCTCAACCCCCACCTGCCCCTGCAGACTGCAGCGGTGCAAGGACAGCATGCTGCAGCGCAAGCTAGTTTAGGGACATCTTGATATCCCCGCCCTTCCCCCTCACTGCCCGTTCCCCTCGTCTCCATGCCCGTTCCTCTCCGTGTCCCTCTTCCTCACCCCCCAGGTGTGTGAGGACCGTGTGCCGGCAGACTGCATGGTGCTGCGCAAGCTGGCGCAGGCCATGCGCGAGTGGCCGCGCCTGCGGGATTGTGAGGTGGAGTGGGGGAGAAGGAGGAGAAGGCGGGTGGGGAAGGGTGAGGAGGGGAAGTGGGGGAAGGGGGAAATGGGGAAGAGGGGAAGTGGGAGGAGGGGGAACGGGGTAAGTTGATGTCAACGGAACAAAAAGTGGGGTTTTTCTCCTCTTTTTCCGTTACCCCTCTCCCTCACTCCTCTCCCCCACCCCTCTCCTATACACCTCCTGCTCCCTCACCTCTCTCCCCCACCTTCCCTTCCACCCCTCTCTTCCACCCTTCTCTCCCTGCTTCTCTCTCCCACCATTCTCTCCCTGCCCCTCTTTTCCACCCTTCTCTCCCTACCCCTCTCTCCCCCTTCTCTTTCTACCCTCCCCCCCCCCCCCCCCCTCGCCCTGCCCCTGCCAGGAGGCAGTGAGATCAGGAGGCCAGCGCACACTTCGCTCCCCCACACCCATCCTTTTCGCCTCCCCCTCAACTCTCTCTCTTTCCCCCACCACTCTCCCGCTGCACCATGCCTTTGTCACGAGGAGCCAGCCCTCGAGGAGGCAGAGGGATCAGCTAGAGACCAGCACAAGTCCCAATACGTGCAAACTACCGACGTGGGGCTGTAGGGCACTGCTTTTGTCACTCTATTTACCCCATGATCGCATGCTCCCTGTCCTATCTTCCATTCCATCATAACCCTCTCTCCTAACCCTCATCTCTGCCTTATTCCCCCCGTAGTCCCTCCCTCCCCTCTCTCCCGTGTCCTATACCCTCACCCCGCCTTGTCCTATTCCCTCACCCCGCCCTGTCCTATCCCCTCACCCCGCCCTGTCCTATCCCCTAACCCCGCCCGGTCCTATCCCCTCACCCCGCCCTGTCCTATCCCCTCACCCCGCACTGTCCCAGGCGAGCACGAAAAAGACCCAGACGAGCTGCATGGACGTGCCGCCTTCCCTTGCTCCTGCTTTCAGCATCTCTGTGGCTCAGACAAGCCACACTACGTCAAGGGGCTGCTTGCAGATTCAAAACGGAAACACCCAAGACTAGAGCAAAGGCTCAAGTTTGTATTGTATCCTGATACTGCATGATTTTGTCATGTGTATTCATGTCTCAAAATGGTGTACATGGTTCTAAAAGGTTTACATCTTATGGCCTGATCCGGTGACTGTTCTATTGTAAAGGGGTTCCATGCTGCACTGCACAGCTTACAATGAGAGGGAAGGTGGGAAGGACTGGGCAGGGAAATTAGAAACAGGAAAGGGAGGTAACGCACATGAGCAGAGGCGGACAGAGCACGATAGAGGGGAGGCATAAGTAGTGAGATGGGCAGCAAAACAGGGACAGGGCGCGATGAATGCAACACTGCATGCATCGGCAATGGAGCATGAGACAAGTGCCTGACTTGCTGAGGTGGCAAGCAGAACCTGGTAGCTGCGGGTGGGCGCAGCCATGAAGTGGCATAGGGTGCCCACTGTGAGGTTCAAAGGGTACTGCACATCGGCGCCCCTGAAGCAGGCACCAGCTGCCACCTTACAGGTAAGACAGTGTCACTCACTGGTGACCGCGGAACTGGGACAAAACGCACACACGCGCAAAGTTGAGATAGAGGTGCATGGTCGTGATGAGAGAGAGGAGGAAGAGATGAGAAAGGAGACGAAGGGACGAGAGAAGGGAGGAAGGGATGAGAGAGAGAAGGCCGAAATGAGAGAGGGGAACAGATGATGAGTGACGAGGACAGGGGGTAGAGTGGAGGACGGGGGGGTAGAGTGGAGGACGGGGGGGAGAGAGGAACACAACGGGGAGAGAGGAGGACAACGGGGACGATGAGGGGGAGAGAAGGACAAGGAGGGAGAGAGGAAGACAAGGCATGAGGGAGAGAGGACAAGGTGGAGAGGTTAGGGGGAGAGAAGCGGACAGAAGGAGGAAGGGGAGGTTGTAGTGTAGTTGGAGAAAAGAGTAATTTGAGAGGTGACTTGGGAACAGAAAGAGGGTGGAGTGGAAAATGTCTGGCGACGAGGTGTCTGTTTGGAGTGGAAGGGAGGAGCATAGATGGGCCGCATGCATCGACCCTCACCGGTTATCACACCTTACTGGATCTCATGGCTCAACTGTGCCAGGACCTCCGTCTTGGCTTGGTTGGCCGCTCCTGCTGCGTTATTGGAAGCCTCCAATTCCTGAGCGTGCGGGGCATCACTTCTTTTCTACATCGATGGCCCTCAGCTTCTGCCGCAGCCGCCGCGTGTCGCGCATCACGGCGCCCAGCACCACACCCATGACTGAGAGCACGCACACGAGCCCTTGCGCCTGTAGCTCCGACACCACACACGCATGCGGCTGCCCGCACGTGCACAAAAGGGGAGGGGTGGAGGTGCTTGGGATAGGGGGGGAAGAGCGGGGCGTTGGAGAAACAGAGGATCTGGTTGAGGGGTGCGCTGTGAGAAGAGGACAGGAACTAGCATAACAGTGAGACGCGGGACGGCGAAGCAAGGAGACGAGGGGGAGGAGTTGGGCAGCGTACAGGCGACGAATAAGGGCGACCCCACAAGGGCTTGTAGGCGCATTTGTAAGGACTAAGAGAGGGAAAGAAGGGATGAGGGAGGGCGGAAATGATGATAGGGGAGAGGAAGGGATGAGAGAGGGGAGGACGAGATGATAGAGGGGACGAAGGGATGAGAAACGGGAGAAATGGATGAGAGAGGGCGATGAGCAGGCGATTCTGCTAGCCCTTTCCAAGGAGGCAGCGCGCCAATGAGGAGACGAGGCGGCGAGGCGGCTAGGCGACGATGTGGCAGCGATGGTGTGGCGAGGCGGCAAGGCCACACTGTGGCGACGATGGGGCTGCCTGGCGGCGAGGCGGCGAAACGGCGACGAGGCGGCGATGCGGCGCTAGAAGTCGCCGCATATCCAGGGTGCGAAGCAGCGGGGAGGCGAGAGGCTGCGGGGGATGGACTCCGGTGACTAGGGAAGGCGGATGCGAAGGGGTGGCGACACGGCGAGGAGGCTGCGACGCGGGAATACGACGCGTCTCGAAGGTGATGACGACGTGTCTCGAGGCCCGGTTTCAAGCATGCGATGGGCCTTGCATATACGCGTGGGGGGGGGGGGGGGGGACTCTACCCTCCAGGTTTGCCGTAATAGCGCTAAGGAAAGGAAGCTCACTTTATGCGTAAAAAAAGTGGCTCACTTTATGTCGTAATAGCGCCAGGAAAGGAAGTTCACTTTAACGGTAATAGACTAGATGCAAGTTTGCTTTGTGAGAATGATCTCGGAATGAGGTTTGTCACTTGGCTGATTGCGCTGTACACTTGGTTTCCGCCCTTCCGCGGTGTCTTTCCCACATCAGTTTCCGTACGAAATATGTTGGCATCGCTTGCCGAGGTTGCATTCCTCACACCAGCTTTCTGTACCCTATCCACTTCACTATCGAGTCAGCATCCCCCAAAGGCTGTGCACTAACAATGCCTCCAAAAATCACCCCTAGGAAAGTGCACTCTTGCTTTAACGTTAGCATGTTTCGCTATAAATGTCCGCTCATGCCTTCGTTCACATTGTTGTTGCCCACTTAGTGCAATCCTAGCTTGATTCAAGTCAATTGCACTCATAACATATGTCCAAAATAACATTTCTTGTTGTTTATCAGAAAAATCAAATCGGAAATTGATTTGGCATGAGTTAGCTAGCAAGCCTACAGTATATATGTCGAGCTGTCACTTGCGAAACAGCCATTATCCAGGTCTCCCAACACTGTACGTCAAGTTCAAACCCGTCCCGTCCACCCACAGATGTCAAATCAAATTTCAGAATGCCTGACTTCCTCAGGCATTGCATACAGTGCGGTGCTGCCTCCCCTCCCAACCACCCACGAAGTCTCAACCACTTCCAATCCAACAACACCCCTCCGAATTCGCACCTCACTCATGCCCTTCGCCCTGAGCAGGGAGCAAAACACTCGTACACGTTCATATTTTTTTTAATGCAGGCCGAAGCCAGTTAATATTTTCTAGTGGAGGACCGTCGCAACCGTCGCAGCGTCCCAGCGTGATGAAGCCCGCAACAGCCCTGCTGTTCGGCGCGCTGCTGCAGCTGACGTGTCACGCGGCCTCACGCGTCGAATGCGTCTCTCTCGCTAAGTCACAGGGTGCGTGCCCTAATCCATGGTGTATTCTGAATCGGTTGTCTTAAGTCGGCTAATTTGTACAAATAAGGAATACCCACGTACTAACTACTTGCTACATTGTGTCTAACAAAGAAGAGCGAAGGGAGGAGATTCAGGTAGTAACGACGAGATGTGGCATGAGAGGGGGTGAGAGAAGAATGTGGTGAGGAGAGAGGAATCGCGGGTGAGAGCGAGGGCATGTGGAGATGAGGACAGACATCCTGAGTCCTCGTCAATCCCTGCCTCCCCTCCTCAGACGCCTGCACTCCCTGCGCTAGCCTCCACGTCCTGCGGCCCTTCCCCCTCCCTTATGCGAATTGCCCTTCTCTTCAGCCTCTTCTGCGCCATTCCCTCATCGCTCCCCTCCCTACACTACTTTACGGCTCTTCTGCGCCCCTCCCTCCCCTTCTGCGCCCTTCCAGCCTCTCTCCCCTCCCTGCACTACTCTCCGGCTCTTCTGCGCCCCTCCCTCCTCTCTTCCACTCCCTGCCTTTCTCTCCTCACTTGCACACCCCACCCCCTTCCCTCTCTTCTCTTTGAGTTCCCGCCATTCCCTCCTGTCACCAGCGCAATTCCTGCTGGACTGTCAGAAGGCGTGGGGCACAACGTTTGACGGCTGGGTGATTGGTGGGGACTGCAGCAATGCAAGCGCCGTCTCGTGCAATGCCCAGGGCATGATAACGACGATGTAAGTGGACCCTGATTCTTGAAATGTGTGCGAGCCATCTGAGACATCTGAGATTCTTGAGATGCTTTGAGGCTTGAACGGTTTCCTGGTGCATGAAGAACAGGGACCCCGGTTCTTTCTGACATCCCAAAAAATCGAGCTTCTGAAACTTACGGCAAAGCAAGTTTGAAGGAGCTCTGTGGTTGGGTTGAAGCGAGCTACCCTGGAGTTGCTGGCAAAGCTGCACTGAAGCTGCTCTTGGACTCGGGACACATCGGGAAAAATTGGCGACGAATCTGTGCCGCACATCTCAAACATGTCAAAGCTACTTTAGCGTAATCTGATTGTGGTTGCACTTCGAAAGGCATCGAAGATCAAATCTGTGCCGCACATCTCAGCCCTCTCGAAGCTACTTCAGCGTAACTATGAATATGATTTCAACTGTTCAAAACACGTGTCTTTCAAACTCATACACTATAGTCTGTGTAGGCTGTAGTGGGGTAGCTTATATGGGGTACAACACTTTAGGGTTTGGTACTTGTACTTCTCATGCTGCTCAGTTCAATCATTCCTCGTTTCATTCTTCACATGGTTTCAGAGCAGGTTCCCTAGTGGGAACGCTCTCTAGGGCCCACCTCGATATTTTTTTTTCCTGCCCGGAGCGCGCTTCGCCTCTGCCCGAGTCGCGCCCCGAGTGCCCTCCCTACCGTCGCGCCGCCCTTAGCGGCCCCTTGAGCCGCCCTTACGGCCCCGCGCGCCACCCTTACGGCCCCTCGTGCCGCCCGTCGACCCCGCGCGCCGCCCTTGCGGCCCCTCGCGCCACCCTTCCGGCCCCGCGCGCCGCCCTTGTGGCCCCGCGCGCCTCTCGTCGGCCCCGCGCGCCGCCCTTGCGGCCCCTCGCGCCGCTCCTCGGCCCCGCCGCCGCCCTTGCGGCCCCTCACGCCGCCCTTAGCGGCCCCTTACGGCCCCTCGGGCGGCCCCTTACGGCCCCCCCCTTTTGCGGCCCGCCGTCGCCCACTACAGCAGCGGCCGCCGCCTTCCCTGGAGCAGCGGCCGCCGCCGTCGTCCCTTCAGCAGCGGCCGCCGCTGTCTCTGCAGCAGCAGCCGCCGCCGTCGTCCCTGCAGCAGCAGCTGCCACTGTCCCTGCAGCAGCCGAGCCGCCCGAGCCGCCCGAGCTACCGAGCCGCCGCTCCCGCCGAGCCGCCCGAGCCGCCCGAGCCGCCGAGCCGCCCGAGCTGCCCGAGCCGCCCGAGCCGCCGAGCCGCCCGAGCCGCCCGAGCCGCCGAGTCGCCGAGCCACCGAGCTGCTGTTGCTGCCGAGCCGCCGAGCCGCCGAGCCGTCCGAGCCGCCCTGTCCGCTACATCCGGTCACTGCCGTCGCGGCCCTGTTCCTGCCGGCGGGCCTCGGTCCTTCTCGCCTGCCCGGTATGAGCAGCACCTCTACCACTGCACTGCCCTTAGCCTACTGCTCGCGCTGCTAGTCTACTGCTGTCATGGCTACCCCCAGTGTCCTCGCTTTTGACGCTGAGGGTCGGGCCATTGACTTTGACGTCTGGGTAGATGACCTGCAGCTTTTCCTACAGTGCGATAGGGCAGACGGTCTCTCCCTCTTTGACCTCACTTCTGGTGCCTCTCCTGCCCCTGCTGCTGATGCTGACGCCACTGTTCGCTCACAGTGGGCCACACGCGATGCTGCTGCACGTCTTGCTGTGCGTCGCCACTTGCCTACCTCTGAGCGTGCACACTTTAGCCAGTACAAGAGTGGTAGGACCTTGTACGACGCTGTAGTTGCACGCTACTCTTCCCCTGCCACTGCTGCACTTAGCCGCCTCATCCTGCCGTACCTCTTCCCTGACCTCGCAGCTTTTCCCACAGTCGCTGACCTCATTACGCACCTTCGCACTAGTGACATTCGCTACCGCGCTGCCCTTCCCGCTGAGTTCTGCGCCAAGAACCCCCCCCCTATGTACATCACCCTCTACTACATAGTCACCCGGCTCCCTGACACCCTTCGCCCGGTCAGGGACCACTTTCTCTCTGTTTGCCCCACCACCCTCACCGTTGACCTCCTCGAGGAGCGCCTCCTAGCGGCAGAGAAGAGCATAGTCGCTGTAGGAGCCTCTCGTGGTGACCCTCGTGCCCTTTGAGGGGTGCTCCCCCTCTCCCCTCTTGCCCTCTGTTGCCTCTGCTGCTGCGGCCGACCTCGTTGGTCTTGAGTCGGTCGGTGCGGCGTCTGCCCCTAGCGGGAGACGCCGCACTGGCAAGGGCAAGGGGGGCAAGGGAGCTGGAGGAGCTAGCGGGGGCGGTGGCGGCGGCGGTGGAGGCGGTGGAGGGGGTGGGGGTGGCGGTGGGGGTGGTGGTGGGGGTGGGGGCGTCAGTGGCGGCAGTGGAGGCGGCGGCGGCGGTGGCGGTGGGAGCGGAGGTGGCGGAGGTGGCGGCGGTGGAGGAGGTAGCGGCGGAGGAGGTGGAGCTGGTCGGGGTGGCGCTGCGCAGAGGGTCGGCTCCGGTGGTGGTCCGCGCCAGCAGCAGCAGCAGCAGCAGCGCACCCGTGAGATCCCTCCCCCTCAGCAGCTTCGTGAGTGGTACGCTGCACGTCAGCGAGGTGGGGGTGCTGGTCCGTGTACCTACGTCCTGCGCACCGGCGACCGCGCAGGTGAGCCGTGCGGGGGTTCGCACTCCACCCAGCGCTGCTTTGGCCGCCTGACGGACGCTTGGCGTCACCAGTTCCCTGAGGCCACTGAGATCCCTCGCTGGGGCGAGCTGTCTAGGGCGGGGGTTCCTATCTTTGATCTTGATTATGATGCTATTCTTGCTGCCATGTATGCTGTGTCTATTAGTGATGAGGGTGACTGTTACCGGTGTTTTCCGCCCGACCCGGGCATTGGTACTGCTGCTCTAGGTACTGGTGAGGCTGCTGCTCTAGGTGCTGGTGAGGCTGCTGCTCTAGGTGCCAGTGAGTCTGCTTCCTCAGGTGCTGGTGAGTCTGCTCTCTCAGGTACTGCGTCGGCTCCGGCCTCCCACACCTTTACCCTTGACTCAGGGGCTTCCCGCTCCTTCTTTCAAGACCGCACCACACTCACGCCGCTCAGTCGGCCTGTTGCAGTCTCTCTGGCAGACCCCTCTGGGGGTCCTGTCCTTGCACACTTCTCCACTGCCCTCCCGTGTCCGGCGGCCCCCTCTGGCACCCTGTCTGGTCTTTACCTCCCCTCGTTCTCTACGAACTTGGTGAGTGGTGCTGACCTACAGGATGCGGGGGTTCACCAGTTCACTCCTGCGAGCCAGCGAGTGACCCACTGCACGGACGCTCGGACGGGCCGACACTTGGCCACGTTTACACGTCGGCCGGGGTCGAGCCTGTACACACTGACCACTGAGTCTCCTCCAGTCACTGCGTCTGGTCAGGCAGCTGCGTCGGGTCAGGTGTTTGCTGCAGCGTCCAGGTCTGGTCCTGAGTCTGCCCCCTGCTCGTGTCGCCTCCTGTCTGACGAGACTCTCCTCTGGCACCACCGCCTTGGTCACCCCTCCCTGCCTCGTCTCCGAGGCATGGCCTCTCGTGTCCTTGTCTCTGGTCTTCCCCGGTCCCTCCCTCCCCTTCCTCCGGGGCCTGCCCCTACCTGCGTCCCCTGTGTCGAGGGGCGGCAGCGTGCTGCCCCTCACTCCTCCCAGTTTCCTCCGACAGAGGCCCCGCTGCAGACGCTTCACATGGACGTGTGGGGCCCAGCCCGCGTCCGTGGACAGGGTCACGAGCGCTACTTCCTGCTGGTGGTTGACGACTACTCGCGTTACACCACAGTCTTCCCCTTGCGTAGCAACGGTGATGTCACTGAGGTGTTGATCGACTGGATCCGCGCAGCTCGTCTCCAGCTCAGAGAGAGTTTCGGCTCGGACTTTCCTGTTCTGCGTCTGCACTCTGACAGAGGCGGGGAGTTCTCCTCTGGCCTTCTGCGAGCCTACTGTCGTGCACGAGGCATCCGCCAGACCTTCACGCTTCCGGACTCTCCACAGCAAAATGGGATTGCTGAGCGCCGCATTGGCATGGTCATGGACGTCGCCCGTACGTCCATGATGCATGCGGCTGCCCCCCATTTTCTGTGGCCGTTTGCGGTTCGGTACGCGGCGCATCAGATCAACCTTCAGCCCAGGGTCTCCATGCCGGAGGCCTCCCCAGCTTTGCTGTGGACGGGGAAGGTTGGCGATGCGTCTGCGTTCCGTGTCTGGGGATCTCGGGCGTTTGTCCGCGACTTGTCTGCGGACAAGCTGTCCCCTCGTGCTGCTCCCTGCGTCTTCCTTGGCTTCCCCCCTGACGCGCCAGGGTGGCAGTTCTACCACCCCACCTCTCGCCGTATTCTGTCCTCCCAGGACGTCACGTTTGACGAGTCGGTGCCCTACTACCGCCTCTTCCCCTACCGCACTCCGTCCCTCCCCCCGCCACCGCTCTTCCTCGTGCCAGGTCCCCCCCCGGTAGACCCCCTTCCCCCTCAGGGTCCTGCCCCTTCAGGTGTGTCCCAGGTAGACGCAGTCGAGCCTGCTGAGGTAGCTGGTGACTCTGGTGCTGCTGGGGGTGCTGAGCCTGGGGGTGCTGACTCTGGGGGTGCTGAGCGTGGGGGTGCTGAGCCTGGGGGTGCTGAGCCTGGGGGTACTACGCCTGGGGGTGCTGCGCCTGGGGGTGCTGAGTCTGGGGGTGCTGAGCCTGGGGGTGCTACGACTGGGGGTGCTGAGCCTGCGGGAGCTGGGCCTACTCGTGTGGCGTCTGGCGGTGCTGGGCCTGGAGGTTCTCCGGGTGCTCCGTCTCGACGGGAGCCACTCTCTCCACAGGAGGTGCGTGAGTGGTTTCCCCGGCGCTGGAGGCGTGCTGCTGGAGCTGGAGGTTCTTCGGCTGCTGAGGGTGCTGGTACCACGGGTCCCAGAGGTGCTCGTACTGGGAGTAATGGAGCTGCTGGGCCTGCG